CCCCCCCCCCCCTCCCCCCCTCCCTCCTTCCTTACGCACATCTCTCCGTTTATACATAATGAAGTATCAAGTTCATATCATGTACTTTTTAATTTGCTATTGGTTATTCGACTGAAATTATCGTTCTATTTTCGAGTTGGTTTGAAGACTAAATTGATATGATTTGTTTTATTTTATTTTTTTTGTAGATCTTAATTTTTTTTCTTCGGCTGTGGCTTTTGGATAGATCGGCATAAAAATGGCGACGTTTGAGCTGTACAGGAGATCGACGATTGGCATGTGCCTGACGGAGACACTTGACGAGATGGTTTCGAGTGGTGTTCTTAGCCCTGAGCTTGCCATTCAAGTCCTTGTTCAATTTGACAAGGTCATAGTCTCTTATTTGATGAATTTGTACCTGTTTGTGTATTAATGTGTGAAAATATGGAGATTTGTAAATGGATATGCTCGGAATTGCTTGATTTTGATGTTTTTATGGCTTGCAGTCGATGACTGAAGCATTGGAAAGCCAGGTGAGGAGCAAGGTTTCTATAAAGGTAAAGAAATATTATTTTGCAGCAAGAATATATTTAAAGGTTTGTCTTTGCATGTATCTATAAATTTGTTGGAACATATTTGAAGTTGGCCTTTTTTATTTGAGAAGGAAGAAACATTAATTATTTTGTTGTCCTGCAGAAAAAAATTACTGATATTAGTTCATTGCTTGAATTAATTTTTGAACTGATCACGAGAATGTTTATTTGGCGTTGCTCTGCAGTCCTTCTTTGCCAAACTGTTAGTATTTATTTTTAATGTAGGTATATTAATCCCAAAAACATGCATCTTCATATCTTTATGGTTAGTAACATGTGTCCAACTTTGAAGGAATTTCAAAGTTGTCCTTTCCATGAACCTTGTTGTCTTTGCAAGAAAAATTGAAAACCGTGAGATTAAATAACCTTGAGTCACTATGCTATTGTACATTTGATTTGTAGCACACTAAAAATCATATTTATCTAATTCCATGATAGTAGCTTTTTGCAGGAAAAATTGAAAAACATGAAGTATGTAACCATATTTAGTTCTCATTTTGCAATGTCTGTTAGTATTTCTAGGAAGCTCGTCTGTCCCCAAATTGTTGCATTCATGCATCGGAACATACTAAACTTTCAAGAGCTTTTTTGTGTTCTACAAGACCTAGATCTTTAAATGTGTGCTTCTCCTAAGAGTACAATCATAATGATTTTTAAGTGAACTAGTAATGTATGGAGTACTTTATGAGAATAGGATGATCAGAAAGCTGTGACAAAGAGTTACCATTTTGCAAAAAGAGCAGCAGGCTTACTAGTGGTAACTCTGTGTCACAGCTTTCTGATCATCCTATTCTCATAAAGTACTCCATACAGAAAGCTTTGACACAGAGTTACCATTTTGCAAAAAGAGCAGCAGGCTTACTAGTGGTAAGAAATACATCTGAAAAGAAGTACACTCCTTTTTATGTCTACTCTACGATAGAAAAATGAATTATCATCTGAGGGCACCAATTAGTTCCACATATCAGATATCCTTTAGCAACAATTCACAAATTGTAGTGCGAGTACTATTGTGCTAGTGCCTTTCTAGTTCTTTAAAGGATGACAAAGTATCAGATATCAATTTAGCAATAATTCACAAATTGTAGTGCGAGTATCAGTGTGCAAGTGCCTTTCTTGTTCAGAATTCAAGGTATGACAGCATCTTGAATGGTCTTCCAAAAGCAATACTCAACTAATCTAGAATGTAATTTTATTAGAATTTCATGTAATTGCATATGTACACTTGCATAATATGTGAATCATTTCTTTTTAAGTTACGAGAAAATATGAAAAACTGGAAACTATAGGTGCAGTCAGGAGACATGCTGCACAATTATTGGAAGAAAATAAATTTAAAAAATGTAATCTATTTATGCGTTATACACCAATTTTACAGTAGTTACCGGAACTTGCAGAATATTAAATAAGCTCGAGTAATATTGTGAGTTATGCCTCGAAGTAAGAGACCTTATATACCAAGATGCGAAGGAATATGAGATGGCACTCCAATGAAAGCTGTAGGACCTCGGAGTACTTATGGTATATCAGTTTTTAGGATCATCATCCTGCTAAGTATCAGCTAATAAAAACTCTATTTGAAGTGCTGGAATTGGAATTTTAAGTGTGAATCTGTCCAAATTTTGTTAAAAGATGTTCACCCCTTTCGGATGGCGGCAGATTCTGTCTCATAAAAGTAGCACATTCTTTTCCTTTTTGAGTGCAGGTATCATTTCAGCGTGTTAGTTGATGTGTGGTTTGTCAAGGCTGTGTTTTCTTTACTAGTTGAGCAACTTTTTTCATCCATTCCCATCTGAAGCTGAAAACAGTTATGTGCTTAATTGTGAGATTATGATTGTAAAGGTAATGGAAAGCTAAATCCAGGAGTGCTGGTTCACAAAAATTGGCGAGGGAGGTGCATTAGGTTGTGTTTTATTTCCTAGTTGAGCAACTTTTTTCATCCATTCCCATCTGAAGCGGAAAACAGCTATGTGCTTGAGTGTGAGATTATGATTGTAAAGGTAATGGAAAGATAAATCCAGGAGTGCTCATTCACAAAAATTGGCGAGGGGGGTGCATTCTGGAATTGTTGCATAGTATGCAATAAAATTCTGAGGAGAAGAAAAATGCAAGATCTCGCCTATACTTCCCTTGAGACAGGGGCTTGTATTAGAAGGCTGCACTATAGAACGGTCATTTGCTCCTCGAACAGACACATCATTGACACATATATGTTCTTCCATGTTTGTTATTACTTCAGATATTGGGGATGTAGAACTTGTTGAACAACCAAGCTATTTTTTCCTCTGGTAAATCGTTTTAAGACTTTAAGCTTCAGGCCAAAATTTTAAATGCTACTTTTATTTTTAACTTTCACACTGATTTCATACTTAGACATACAGAGCTCACAACCACCCAAAATTTTAAATGCTGTGTTCATCATAACTTTTATGCTTATCGGAGTCTTAAGACACTCAGGACAGGACTGGAGATCATGAATGTCTTGAATCACGTAGATCAAACACTAAAATATCATGCAAGAAAAAGTGTACTACTATATCAAAGAAGGCTAAAGTTTTTGGAAAATAGAGCAAAAACCTTCAAATTCTACAGATTTTCATCATCTCACTTTCTTATCCATTCATATGAATGTGCTATTATTTATTTAGCTTTCTTCTATATCTTAAGTTCTATCTCCAAAGCAACTATAGTATTTGGAAAATTGATGATTTATCTCATACTCCTAGAATTCATAAATATAGCTCAGTACAGGGGCTTTACAATTGACTTCTTCACTGAGGTCCTGCAATTCTGGGGGATTTGTGTCCAAGATGAAGATGTGTGGTCAAGAGAATATGGCCTGTACAATCAAAAAATAGCTTCTAGTCTCTGATGTTAATACAATTCAATCCAGAAAACAATGAATAATCGTCATCTTCAATTTTTATAATAGTTTTCACTTTTCATGGGTATGCTTTTGGGTTTTTTTCTTTACGTTGTTTATCTCCTTGATTCTGTTAAACTGGATGTTCACATGAAACCATAAACAACCAAGTGTGTATAAAACTATAAATAATATAAACTGTGTCAAGGATTTTTTTTTAATTGGACAGTTTTCTCCTTTTGCTGCTTATTTAATATGAAAAGATGTACATAAATTTTATGCACCATTTGTTTTAGTGGTTTATACTTTCAACCATGTTTTTTTAGCTGCAATTTTATCTTGTTGCATGGATTATCTTAGTGATGCTATTCAGATAAATTTAATTTTTTTTTTGTACAATTTTTCGCCTTTCACCTTCTCCCTTCCTTTTAATAATTATTTTAAATGTCTTATCTGTTTGTTTTTGCTTCTGTTCTTTGGGTAAGCAGTTTGATTAATTTTCAGATCCAGCATCTTTTTGAGCAAATATTAATCTGTGCAACTTGTTGAGATCATTTCATGCCTGCTCAACTCTTTCTCGTTGCACCACATTTTCTATTAGTTCTTTTGCTGATATTTCTTTATGAAAAGTATTCGAATCCTTTTTACGCTTATTTAATAATGTTAAGTGGGTGTTGTGGCCCCCATTTTTTAGGGAGAATTAGTTTTTGAATAGTGATTGATGGGAGAGTGTGTGGTGGAGAAGTGATGAAAAGTTTTAGATTTGTGTGTAATATTATTTTATTTGGAGAATGTGTGGTTGAAAACGAGTACCGTAGAAAAATGAATGGGAAAAAGGGAGAAAGAATGGGGCTCAAACATGGGCTAATTAATATTGATTCAAATGTACCAAACTATATGCTTAAAATCATAATTTAAGCCACCTGAGGAACGGATTTAGGACTCTCTTCTTACAAGACCATTCTATGACCCCTTTTCTGCGTGTGATGGTGGTGGAGCCATTGTAGTTTTATTCAGCCTTGGTATTCTGTAAGATTTTTTGCCTAATTTTAGCTCGCTATGACGCTATTTGATTACACAGATTGTTCTTTTCTTTAGCAGTTGTTCTGTGTATGTGAGAACGTGGTTAACGGGCATGTCATTTGTTTCTTACTCCAATTATCTGTCCTCTTTTTTTTTTTTTGGCTGTCAATGACATATCCTTGTATATTCAACCTTTTAGCCTGACTGTCCTTTTGATGTTGCAGTAGACCATAGTTACTGAACACAATCCTGTAATTATTTGTTTATAACTGCACCCTGTTTGCTTCAGGGACATCTTCACACCTACAGATTCTGTGACAACGTTTGGACTTTCATCGTACAAGATGCTCTGTTGAAGAGCGAAGATTTCGCGGAGAACGTTGGTCACATGAAGATTGTGGCATGCGACTCGAAGCTGCTTACTCAGTGAGAAAAACAAATGAAAGGGAGCATTTGCTTGTGACCGCGAGGATTAGTCACTTTGTATGAACCAAACCTGTATAAGCATAATAAAGCAATGTCTTTCCATTGTGTACGAGTGGAATTAGATTTGGTAAAAATATGTAGGGAATCTCAGAGAAATTTGTGATGAGCTTTTTATCGAGATGCATAACTCGTATAATCAGTGGTCTTTCGAATGTTAGTGGTATGTTAAACTAGATACGATTGGAAATTATGTCAAGAATATCATATTCTAGAAGTGTGCTTGGTACTTAATTGCAACATCATGAATTTATATTGTTGCTCCTAGCCTTGTATTAAAACGTATTGTCTACAAAAATGCTTTATTTTAATTCTTTTTCCTCTCTTTCTCCTCCTAGTGGATAAGACACTTCTTTCACGACTTGTAGCTATTATTAGTGGTAGAAGTTTTCGAGTAAGAATTAAAAAGGGAAAAAAATATATTGTTAAAGAGTCTCCCGTGTCAAAAGTTGCAATTTTTTAAGTTAATATGGTGTAAATCACTGGATTATGGGTATTCATTGATTGGAATGATTTGTATATAAAATTTTAATGAATTCTGAGCATATAAATATACATATTGAAGTCCTTGGAAATTCTAGCACGACTCCTCAAATTTCAATGAATTTCGAGTTCTCAAGTATAAAGTCAAAATTATTTATACCTCTGACAAAAATAAAAGAAATTTATAGAAATAAAATATATCATTCTCAATTTCGATTGTTACAAGTTTCTCGATTTTATGAGAATTTGGAATTGAATTTTATTTTGGACATCTAATAATAAAAAATTAAATATACCATCTTGCTTTTAAGATGATGGATATTATTGAAGAAAAAATGTATTTTAAATAGTGATATGATGATAAATATGTAGTTAAAAAGTAAGGAAAAATTATTGATGTGATATAAAATATTATTTTATTAAAAATGAGTTTTGAAATAATGTATTATTGAAGAATGTGTGTCAAACTGGGACTCTACTCACCTTTTTTTCAACTCTATTCACCAATTAGACATGTCTTTTATCATATTAAACTTGATAATAAAAATTCTTTTTTATTAAACTTATTTTTAATTTCATGATATTTTTAACTTTGTCTATTGTAATTTTTTTCAATTTTCAGATTGAACTGATTATAATTTTTTGATACTTATTTTTTGATTGATGAAATTAATTATTTAACATGACAAAGTTATGAATTTTCGATAATGTATAATTTTACTAAAATTTTCGAAAATCATTAAAATTTATAATATATAATTATGTTAGTCTTATAGAATAAGTGGATTCTATTTTAATTCATGAAACAAGGGAGAATACATCAATATTAAGAAATTCATTAAAATCTAAGTTGAGAACGCCATAAATATTATATATACTGATTTTCATATTATTCTGTTTTAAGTCTCATTCCACTCGAGAAAAATTAAGCCTTGGCTTTCAAAAAAAAATCTATTAGGAACTAGAATTGAGAATTGACTAGTTTGGGTCAAGGTCGAGGCCGGTTCTTGGTTCCCGAACCCAAATTGTGGGAACCCCAATTAAATCGATTTTTTATATAATTTTTTATTTACAGTTTACAAACTATGTAAAAAAAAATGCAAAACCTTAAAATCCTAATTTGGATAGTAATTTGTCTAAAATTCTAAAATCTAATCTTAAGAAATTAGGAATGTCTTAGACTTTTTTAGCCCTCGTGTCACATCAAATTGTTGCATTACAAAGGTTAGTACTGTTAAGTTTATTAATTTGTCATTTGGGTCTACATATATAATTAATTATTTATAAGGCTATCTTAATATTGAGCACAATTAAAATGATCTAATAAAGAATTAAATTGTTGGGTTTAGGGCATCTGAATAAAGTGTAGGCTGAATTATATGTGTAGAGACTAGATTCCTTTATAATTGTATTTCATGATAGGCGAAATACTTATGGATATATATATAGAGTTATGATCTCCAATTCATATGTGATTTTCATTCTTTTTATTATCTCATCAACACAAAAATATAGGAGAAAACATATTAAATGGGAAGATTCAAAATCCACAATCAAGATCAAGAAGAAGAAATTCAAGAATCAAGACTATGGATCAAGAATGAAAATCAAGAATAAGAATTAAAGAATTAAATGAGACAAAATTCAAGATTAAAAGTGAAAAAAACCAAACATAAAAAGATTGATGTTCGAACTTTAAGAATCAAAATCCAATAATAAAGAATCATTCCCAAAGAATTAAGGAATGTTCCACATTATTAATTTTCTTGGTGAATTGACATGAAGGATCTTGTTAATAAAGAAATTTAGGTTTTTAAAGTTCTAAAGTTTCTAATTTTATAAAGTTTCAACAAGTGGTATCAGAGTCAATTCACGTTAAATCATTGAAATTAAAGGAAGATTTTTGGGTAGAAAATCATACTTTGGTTTTATAAAATTTTGGGATCTGAATTTCAAACCCTAAATTTCTAAAGTTTCTAATTTTATAAAGTTTCAACAAGTGGTATCAGAACCTATTCATGTTAAATCATTGAAATTAAAGGAAGATTTTTGGGTAGAAAATCATACTTTGGTTTTATAAAATTTTGGGATCTGAATTTCAAACCCTAAATTTCAAAATTTTAGATTTTTGGAATTTTTTTCAAAAAATTAGGATCGTTGCAGCACTTCAGCGCCGCATTTAAAGTTTCATATGTTGACATATGGTTGATTTCATCGTTAATATTTTGATCATAACAAACAAGGTTAATATTGTTTCGAACAATAGATTTTGAGTCATGATAATTCAATGTTAAAATCAATCAAGTATTGCCAAAATCAACACATTATAAATCAAACTCAAAATGAATATCAAAGTGAAAGTTAAGTATTCAAGTCAAATTATTCGAGACGAGATCTCAAAAGACAAACGTCAAAAAAAAAATAAGATCAAGAGCATGAGAGTCGACATCAAAGAAAGATCAAACGAGAAGTTTAAGAGGCAAACTTCGAAATAAGATCAAAAACTAGATTTTTTTAATGCAAATATAAAGGTACTAATATTTTGATATTTAACAATTAATGATAAAAGCTTACAAATCATTTTGTGTACGAAATGATTATTTCATAAAAACACTTGCATAAAAAAAATTATTAAAGGATAAGAATTTCAAATTGATATTTAAACTTTTTACAATATTACTTATTCTTTCAAAAGGCTACATTTGTTTAAAAAAAAAAAGTAAAATAAAATAAAACAAAAATTCAAAGTCAACACAGACGTCCAGTTGACCATCCGGACGTCCAGTTTGCTAACTGTCATTTTTTTAACTATTCTGATTTTTTACACACAACGACAAGTTGTGTCGTCCAATTCAGCATGTGGACATTCGGATGGGTTGTCCGATTCAGGATGCGGAAGTACGAATCGGTCATCCGGTTTGCCAAAACTTTGGACGTTTTGACTGCTATAAAAACCACTTCACTTTACATTCATAAAACAATTAGAAGAGAGTTTTCTTGTAAAATATATTTGGGAAAAATTTTCTTTGACTTTACATTTTTACATTCATTTCATTTGTTTTTTCATAACAAAAACTTTGATT